GCTTGACGTGTCCTGTCTGAACGTACCTTTATGCAGCGCTTGTTGTTAGCAGAGACTCGAACCTTATTTAGCGGAATTTAAATTTTGCTTAGCGAGAAAATTCGAGTTTCACTTAACGGAAACTTAATGTCTATACGTTTTAATCGTCATACATCTTGGATCAGACATTAAAAAAATAAAATGTATTTTATAAATAATATATAGAAACAAATAAAATGTAATGTTTTATAATAGTAATATAACTAATTATTTATTTATAGGAACTATTAGAATTGATTTATAAATACTAAATATACGATGTCATGGAAAGCTAGTTCGTTAACAAGTAAAGTATACATATATATATATGTGTCATATTACCATAGAAAATAAAACTTTTATATTTTGCATTTTACCTGTTTGGCAATAATTTTAATGGATTAATGATTTTCTGTGATTAAAATGATATCAGACACGATATAAACCGATAATTTTTAGTGTTTCCTTATTTAAGTAAAAATTATCCGAATTATATCGTGTTTTTGATGCCATTTTAATTAAAAATCTCATTAATCAATTAAAATTATTTTCAAAAAATTACTTTCTAAAATAAGACAAATGTTTTAGTTTTTATTACATATGATTTTTAAATATTATAAATAAATTATTATAGATAAGTAAAGGTCTCCGATGTCATCGAAAGCGAGAGCGAGAACAAGTAAAGTATACATATATATATGTGTCATATTACCATAGAAAATAAAACTTTTATATTTTGCATTTTACCTGTTTGGCAATAATTTTAATGGATTAATGATTTTCTGTGATTAAAATGATATCAGACACGATATAAACCGATAATTTTTAGTTAAATATGTAATCAAAATTTTTATTATTAATTTAGTTAAAAATTATCCGATTTATGCTGTTTGATTATGTTTAATGTTATTTTAATCGCAAAAATCTCATTAATCGTTTATTAAATAATTGATCTATAATTTAAAATATTTGTATAATTTAATATTTCGCTTGTATATATACGTCATAGTATGCAAAATATTTCGGGCTGCGAATTTTCAATAACATGGTATTCGGCCTTGACGACGTAAACATCAGCGCGCTATTGTTTACATTTACGTGTTACGATTCAATGGCCTTATCATTCGCACGGCGATACTCGAACAGTAATGTAGCAGTGCGAGACGCTCTGTTAAATTCCTTTTCTAAACGCGATCGCGATAAGTATCGGGAATTAATTTGATATAATTAATAATTAATTCTCTCTCTTTCTTTTACTCTTTAGGTAACAATTACTTAAAAATTAAAATTTAAAAAATTAAAATTTAAAATTAAATATATTTCGTCCGATGTTTTTTCGTTCGACTTTTCGATCGACGATCTAAATATGATTCGGATTGAGAACGCGCAATGAAATAGTTAAATCACAGATCCGAATAATTAACATAACGATAAGCTCCGTGATATATTAATCGTTTATTAAATTGTATTCGGCTTTGGCGACGTATAACGCGCTATTGTTTACGTTTTTTGTTTATTGATTACGTATTGTTATTATTCGCATGACGACTCTTGAATATTAGTATTATAATAGTGGGAGACGCTCCGTCAAAATATTTCTTTCTTACTTGTTATCATTCGCATAACGACACTTGAGCAATAAAGTAGTGATAGGAAACGCTTCGTATATTATTGAATTCTATTCCTAAATGCGATCGTGATTATTATCGGAACATAATTCGCTATGATAATTACAATTAACGAATAATTAACTTTTAATAAATGACATAATGAAACTGGTATTGCCACGATAAATCTTATCATAACGCGATTATTTATTTACAAGTAAAAATCGAAACGACAGAATAAAAATTATACATATTGTTACGATGTTTTTCAATTATCGATCCTTACTTTACTAACAATGCTCTGATTATATTCCAATATTTCAAATTTTCCTAAAATGCAAGTATAAATTAATTATTGATTAAACGATTGTTATATAATAATTTTTTATTACTTTAATCTTTCGATTTACGATTTATATTATTGTACGTATACTATATCTACATACAATACAACAACAGAGATAGCATTGCTGTCGAGTAGCGCATGATTTTGGCTTCGTGTAATCGTCGAGCGAATTATACTTTTTGTGTTGCTCTCTTTATTTATGATATAATAAAGTGCATATCTCGTGTGATTATTCCATGATCGAGAGTGTCGTGCAAAGTGTTTCGCAATCGCATATACGACTAATTTTCGTGAGTGAGTGTGAGTGCCACGAGGAAACAACAAAAAATGAGTAAGATTGGAAAAGGAAGTTTGGACAGACCAACGATAAGCGATAAATAATTCATAAATTATTTATTAACGCTGTTAATGATTAAAACTCCTTCAAAATCGAACGAACACTATTAAAACTAGAAATATCAACAACCATATGTTCGGCTTTATTGACTCTTAGCTCGCTATTGTTTACGTGTTACAGTCTTTTCATCATTCGTACAACGATACTCGAACAGTAAAGTAGTAGTGCGAAATGCTTCGTATCTTGTCAAATTTCTTTTCTAAACGCGATCGCGACTATTAGTATATCCAACTGAACTCATAAATTAAAAAATTAATTGAATAATATAATTAATTGAATAATTATTAAAAAAAATTAATAATAAAAAGTTATATAAATTAAAAATGATTTGATAATGTTTAAAATGCTTAATACTTTTCAAGAATAAGAAAAAAGTGAAAGCAATTTATTGTAAACATCTTCTACAGGTTATATTTAAAAATCAGGAAAAAAATTATTAAAAGAATTAATTTAAAAAAATTTATTTCATTTTATATGCGCATATACATAAAAATACTTCAATTATAATTTATTAACGCTGTTAATGATTAAAACTCCTTCAAAATCGAACGAACACTATTAAAACTAGAAATATCAACAACCATATGTTCGGCTTTATTGACTCTTAGCTCGCTATTGTTTACGTGTTACAGTCTTTTCATCATTCGTACAACGATACTCGAACAGTAAAGTAGTAGTGCGAAATGCTTCGTATCTTGTCAAATTTCTTTTCTAAACGCGATCGCGACTATTAGTATATCCAACTGAACTCATAAATTAAAAAATTAATTGAATAATATAATTAATTGAATAATTATTAAAAAAAATTAATAATAAAAAGTTATATAAATTAAAAATGATTTGATAATGTTTAAAATGCTTAATACTTTTCAAGAATAAGAAAAAAGTAAAAGCAATTTATTGTAAATATCTTCTACACGTTATATATTTAAAAATTAGGGAAAAAATTGTTAAGAAAATTTATTTTATATCACATGCGCATATACATAAAAAT